AAGAATTAAAAACAAAACAAACAAAAGAAATAGCATAAATCAGAGTACATTATAAAAGTAAGGGAATCTTATCTCTGAGTTATACTTGTATGTATGCATTCAGGTCAGGATGTAAAATGTTTTTCTCACTAAAGATTGCAGTTAAAGTTTGAAAGCTAACTGACTACTCCAAACTCATTTCTTAGAGACTGAAGGACTTTGTACACCAAAACAAACAAAAAGCCACTCTACTGTAGTATGCTTCTTTCAAAGAGGTGATTTAATAAACCTCCAAACTTTTAAAAAATGGCTTTGAAAAATGTTATCCTTGATTTTTAATAAGTAAAATGTGTTTGAATTTTAGCTTTGCCTCTTAAAAGCTGTAAGGCTTTAGGCAAGTTACTTGGACTTTGTATTTCAATTTTTTCATCTATAAAATGGTAATAATAACAATGCCCATGTCCTATGGTATTATTGTTGGATCAGTTGGTGTATGTAAAAGTGTTTTGAAAATGATGCCTGGAGGGACCAGCAGTTAGCGTAATGGCTATGTCGCTGGACTCCCATGTAGTCGACAGTGGTTTGCGTCCCGGATCTGGTGGCTTAAACTCACGCTGGGCGCGTGTGCATGTGTGCCCAAGACCCTGAGAGGAGAATGGCGGAGGAGGGATTGTGGTGTGACGATCCCCCCGGGGGATGATTTCTCACTTTCTGTCTCTCTGTCTGGCGAGCGCACTAGCCCTGTAGCAAAAACCTCTCCAAAAAAAAAAAGAAAAAAAGAAAATGATGCCTGGTACATAGTAAACTGAGTATTTATGGACTTTATTATGTAGAAGGACTCCTACTGTGCACGTAGAAAGATTCCTACAGTACACCAGCTACATGTAGGTGCTTGCTTTTCAGTGTTTCTTAGGTACCATTTGACTCTTTTCATGTCATTATAATACTCCCATCTTATTGGAGCTCGCAGTCTAAGATGCCGTCACTAAAACAATAACCTTTGCTTTTATGTACTTGTTTTATGTGACTGCTTAGGAGCCCTAAGTGTGTGTGTTCCATATGTTTGTATTCCATGAAGTAAATAATGTATAATGCTCTCAGGACCAGTAGATGGTGTAACAGTTACATCACTGGACTCCCACGTAGTCCACAAGTGGACTTCTTAATCCTCTCACTGGTGGACATCCACTGTTAAACAACCCGTACTATTTTTCATGACTCACTGAGAAGTCCCGTGGTGGTGTGATCCCTGTCCCCAGCTACCAACATTTAAACTTGTAATTTTCAATGTATTGTGTAAAAACAAACTTCTAATTCTGGCTACTTTTCTTTTCAACTTTTCTTTTCAAGTCCCCGACCCGGTGGCTTAAAACTTGGGCGCATGTGTGTGCATGCCCAAAATCCCAAGAGAAGAATGGAGTAGAAGGGATTGCGGGATAGCCATCTCCCCTGGAGGGTGATTTCTCACTTTCTGTCTTTCTCTGTCTCTCTGGCAAGTGCACACTCCCTATAGCAAAAATCTCTCTCTCAAAAAAACAAAGTATTGAATACTTAATAGATATAATAAAGTATCTATTATAGTAAAATGTCATATTAGACACTTTTTTAAAAATCAGAAGAACTTATTGGAGAAGAAATTAATGAAATGTTTTCTTTTCTGGTTCTTCAACAATTTTTGTTTTTGCTTAGAAGGAATAAGTGTCAAAGTTGTCTTTAAGATTGACTTCTCTTGCATTGAGAACTTGATGTCAGCAAACTGATTTGTAGTGAGACAACTGCTTTTTTGAGCTGTACTGGATACTGACTTCCATTTCTCTAAGCCCATTGGCAATACGCAGTTGTAACCTGGGTGAATAGGAATTAATCCTGGCTGCCTGGCAGAAGTGGATTTGTTATATAATTTATGATACCCAGAAGTCTTTTGGGAGGTCTTTATTATTTTACTGCTAGGATAGTATCCATCTAAGCCCAAAGATTAATTTTTCTGGTTCTCATCTAGTTCCACCAGAGTGATTCTCATCGCTGAAGGAGCAGCAACTTGCTTTTAAATGCTCGCATTTTGCTTTTTATCTGACACTTTAGAGGTATGCTAATCAAGAATGGGTGTTAGAAATCCAGAAATGTTTCAGTTAGTGATTTATTAATAGTTTAGAGATTTTTTTCTCCTGTTAAACTGATTTAACTTCTGAAAAATGAGTCATATTCAGGGTTTCAAACATTTCCTCTTTTGACTGGTCTCAAAAAAGACTTTATTTAATGTTTCTGTCTTATAAATTGCTGCTGAAATTCATTTGTGTCAGTCCTGCCACTGCTGATACGAATGAACAGGTTGAATGTCAGTTTGGTTTTCCATCATCTGACACAAGTGGACTTCTTAATCCTCTCACTGGTGGACATCCACTGTTAAACAACCCGTACTATTTTTCATGACTCACTGAGAAGTCCCGTGGTGGTGTGATCCCTGTCCCCAGCTACCAACATTTAAACTTGTAATTTTCAATGTATTGTGTAAAAACAAACTTCTAATTCTGGCTACTTTTCTTTTCAATTTTAGGCCTAAAATTGGAAGCTCTATTTTTATAAAACAGTCTCCTAGAACAGTCACTGGTGTTGCTATTCTCTCTCTACCCCAAATATCATAAGTGGGCCTGGGGGTGGGAAGAGCAAGAGCAGGCTGTTTCGTATGGTTGGGCAGAATGAGTGGGCCTGCCAGCCAGCGGAGGTGGCATCTGCTCTTTGCTTTCTTGGCAAGTACATCTGGCTTTGGAAGCCTGTTTAGGACTTTACTTCTTGGCCTTTTCTTGTCGTCATTTGAAACACAGCCCATTGTCTCCAGCGGTTATAATGAGAGAAAGGACCTTTATGGTCCACATCTCTTACCCTCTTGGCAAGGTACATGCTTCAGGCCCCAGAGTTAAAAGTCACTCTGTCATCAAATGGATTTTAGTAAATATCACAGTGGTATAACAAGAAGTGTAAAGTTGACTGTGAGTCCTTTGTGTTTTAAGTAGGTGATTCCCCATTGAAAACAAGTAGTATTCAGGATTCAGAAAATCTGCCTGCTTTGCTCTTGCATCTCCAAACACTTTAAATACTTATTGGTGGGGAAAACGGAGTTCAAGACAGCATCTAAAGGGGTTTTCACTAGAGTGTGCCTGGTCAGTGAGCCACTGGAGCTTCCTAGAGTGCTCGGTGGCTGTGGCTTCAATAAACTTAGCACCCTTGCTAAGAGGAGAGGCACGACTGATTCCATTTAATAATGTGATTTTTTTCCCCAAGGGACTGAGGCCCAGGTAAAAAGAGATATGACAAGTTAAACGTCTCCCTGTTTCAGTTTCAAATGCTTTCGCAGTGTTTAGGGTGAAAATTAGCTTGTGAAGTGGGAAAAGAGAGTTGTGTACTGCTGGCAGAGAAGCAGGGTTTGTATCACATTATCTGAGAAACTGATGAGGTAGGGAATAATTGGGACCATGAAGTAATTGGACAATTCTCTCCTCTTTCTCTTTTCTTTGGTGGTGACTAGGGTTCTGGGGGCTAGAGGGATCCAGAAGAAATTAGGTTTTTAGAACCAGCTTGAAAAATGAAATTGAGTTCTGCATCCTTAGGACTCAACTCTCTTTACTGTTGAATGTTTGCTAGCGTCCTCACCTAACTAGAACTGGTATAAATAGCTACCATTTATTGAGTACCAACTGTGCTAGGGAGTGCGAAGCATGTCAGATACATCATTTATTCAATCATGAGTTAATAAATTTAATTAAAGTGATAGACTAGTGCCTTACACAGAGTGAGTGCTCAGTAAGTATCTGTGATTATTATTTATTCAACAGATAATTAAATTCTTGCTATGTGCTATATAGCTTAGGTGCACTGGATAAACTGGTGAATAAGATAAAATCTCTGTTAGGAGGGGGAACAGACAATACATAAATCAACAAATTTCGGAGAGTGGTTATGTACTATGAAGAAATAAAACCAATGTTGTGATGGATTAGAGCAAAATGACACTTAGGTGGGTTGGGCAGGGAATGCATCCCAGCATTTAAACTCAGGCTCATCTGATAAGGAAGGAGCCATTTAGTCTTCACAGTGATCTTTTGATTTTCCCAATTTCCAGGCAAGGAAACTGAGGGGCAGGATGGCTAAGTGTGTGCTGGAAAGCTCGCCACGCCAGGCTGTGCGAACCCAGTCATTCTGCATCTACATGTGTCCTATCCTTCCTAGGATTGTACTGGAAGTACGTGATTGTACTGGAACAGCTGAAGGAGCTGTGTATCTGTGCAACCGGTTTTTGAGTGAAGGAATGAAAGGTGGTTGTGGTACAGGCAAAACACTGATAGCAATTTAGGAAATCTACATGTAATTTCAAGGACCACCCCCTATTTTGGGATGCAAAATGTGTGTGTGTGTGTATGTGTGTGTACCATTTATCTTGGGTCCATAGCTATCTTCAGAATTTCACACTTATTGATAACCAAAGGAGCTTGTGGTGCTGCTACTTTTTAGAATTTTCTCATATTCATTTTTCTTAAAATAGAGTCAAGCTGCTGGGGCACAGTTTTAATAAGACAGCATTGCAATGGCCTTTAGGAGGTGACAGTTTTGGCAGGTCATGTGAGCAGGAATCATCAGATGTTTTCCTTTGCAAAGCCTATAATACTGTAATGCTTTCTATCAGATATAAGGCTCTTTTTGATTTAATTATCTGCTTATCTTTATACATGTTAATGTGCCCTGGGACCTCATGCCATATGAACATTTGTGAAAATAACTGTTAAAAAAGTAAAACCCGAACCTCAAAGCTTCAAATGTCAACCTGTAGGGTATGCACTTCCAATAAAGACACACAAAAATGAGCATTTCCTGTCACTGTCTTTGAAACCCAAATATTTTTTAATTGGCTCTACACTTAAAATCAAAGAGAAATTGTTTCAGTGATAGTAATTGAAACCAAGAGGGGAGCCAAGTTCTGGTCATGTCTGACTTTCAGTTTCATAGGATGTGGTTTAGATCAAATACCTGTTTCAGCTAGAAGATTGATCATGTTGTTATTGCAGAGAGGAAGGCCTCCAGGAGCTGTGCTTTACAGCCTTTCACGTGGTGTCTGAGTGCTGGGAGGCGGTTTCTTCTTGGAACATGAAGAGGACAGAAAAAAGAATACAGAATAAAGTAAAACAGGCATAATATTCTGTGACACACCTACCTGAATGAGGTTTAAAGTTGTGAAATGGTCATTGTAAAGGTTCTTCCTTATACCATTGTTTTTTATTTTGTTTATTTTTGCTGTAGGGCACATACATTTCGTGGTGAGAAAGCTAGAGAGAGAGAAAGTGGGAAAGCACCCCCCAGAGGGGCTGGCCATGCCATAATCCCTTCTCCAACAGTCTGCGCTTTGGATTTTGGGTTTATGCCTACATGCGCCCAGTGTATTTTTTAAACTGCCATGTCTGGTACTTGAACTACACAGTTGGCCATTTGGGATCCAGCTGCCCTAACCACCATACCACTGGTGGACCCAACTTTTTCTTTCTTTATAAGTAGGCGCATTTTATCACTATATAGTGATAAAATGTATAGTATAGTAATACATAGCCCAGTAACAGTCATTTATTATCAAGTATTAAATACTGTACATAATTGTGTGTGCCATACTTTTAAGTGACTGACTGCAATAGGCTTATTTATATCAGCTCACCACGGAACATGAAGAGGACAGAAAAAAGAATACAGAATAAAGTAAAACAGGCATAATATTCTGTGACACACCTACCTGAATGAGGTTTAAAGTTGTGAAATGGTCATTGTAAAGGTTCTTCCTTATACCATTGTTTTTTATTTTGTTTATTTTTGCTGTAGGGCACATACATTTCGTGGTGAGAAAGCTAGAGAGAGAGAAAGTGGGAAAGCACCCCCCAGAGGGGCTGGCCATGCCATAATCCCTTCTCCAACAGTCTGCGCTTTGGATTTTGGGTTTATGCCTACATGCGCCCAGTGTATTTTTTAAACTGCCATGTCTGGTACTTGAACTACACAGTTGGCCATTTGGGATCCAGCTGCCCTAACCACCATACCACTGGTGGACCCAACTTTTTCTTTCTTTATAAGTAGGCGCATTTTATCACTATATAGTGATAAAATGTATAGTATAGTAATACATAGCCCAGTAACAGTCATTTATTATCAAGTATTAAATACTGTACATAATTGTGTGTGCCATACTTTTAAGTGACTGACTGCAATAGGCTTATTTATATCAGCTCACCACAAATGTGTGGTGTTGTGCTATGACATGACAACTACAATGTCATTACTGACAGGAATATTTTTTATTTGTTATAATCTTATATAGGACTACTGACATTGACCACTATGTCATTAATGTGGCATATGACAGCATAGTGTCTTTTTTTTTTTTCTTTTTTGGAGAGGTTTTTGCTATAGGGCACGCACACTCACCAGACAGAGAGAGAGAGACAGAGAGACAGAAAGCAAGAAATCACCCCCCAGGGGGGATGGTCACACTACAATCCCTTCTCCTCCATTCTCCTCTCGGGATCTTGGGCATGCACGCACATGCACCCGGCGTGAGTTTAAGCCACCGGGTCCAGGACTCGAACTGTGCTCAACTACGTGGGAGTCCAGTGACATAGCCATTACACTAACTGCTGGTTATAAAAAAATTTTTTTTATATAAATATTAAAAAAGTGGAATTAGTTGGCAAATGTTACAAACGATGTTGAGGGAAATAGGCACTCTGAATTCACTGCCAGAATTAATTTGACACCACTTTTTTGGGAAGTCAGATTGATTTTTTATATATATGTATGTATATATGTATGTGTATATATATATGTATGTATATATGTATGTATATATATGTATGTATAAATATATACATATATATATTTTTGCATATTCATTGGTTTCTCTTCTAGGAATTTATTCTCAGATTTAATTACAAATGTACCAAATTATAGTTGCATTTTTCTGTTTATTATTCCAGTATTGTTTATAATAATGACTGTTGGAAGCAGAATAAATATCTAATAATAGAATTAAATTGACAAATTATGGTCCCCCCCAATAGAAAACTTTACTGGCTATTGAAAATGTTTTAACAGTCTCAACCTCTTTGCTGTCTTCTGTAATACACCATCAAAGTTTCAACAGATTGATTAGCAAGGTATAAATAGTCTATGGGTTATGTGAAATAGTTGGAGTGTTAATGATGATACCAATATTACTGTTGAATTGCTGCTTTTTTGAAAACTTTAATGACAGGATAGTATTTTTATGAAAAAGTGTTCAGTGGAAGAAGTTGCAAAAAAAGATGTACAGTGCGACCCCAGTTTAGTTTTCATGTGCATATAATATGTATGTGCATGTAGTTATGTGTACCATCTGTATGTGCTTACATAAAAGACGGAAAGGATATACTTCAAAATATTAATTGTAGGTAGCAAGATTACTAGTTGAAAATTTTTCCCTTTATGTTTCTCTGTAAAGTTTCTAAACTTCACAGAATAACTATTTAATACTTAATTTGGCAGCAGGAAAGAAAGTCTTAGCGGCCTCATTTTTCTGAGCAGGTATACTGATGTGGTTGAAAGCAGGGCTTCTTTTATTGTACAAGTCTTTTCTGTCCCTCTTCCTCTTCCTGTCCACTGTGCATTAGCAGACAGCCTCCATCATGGGCCTCTAGGAAAAAGCTGATAAATGTGGTCTTAATGGATTTAGAATTTTCTTTTTCAGAGAATTAGCGAACATTAAGAGATTGATTAGTTACCATGTGATGACCCTGAGGCCTACTTACAGGCCATGTGACTTTAGAAACCACATCTATACATTTGTGGTTGTTCAGGTGCCCCTTTTAAGACATTTGGATGCAATCATTTATCATCTATTGAGTTCCTTCCTTATCGTTTGTCTCATTTCACAATTTCCTTTCTTGCCTTTTACTTACATGCAAAAATCCAATGTTATCTCCAGTTAATTATTTTTCATTCAGTTGTATTCTACTCGGAAGGTGACTAAAATGTGAATAGTTGATTTAGTAATTGGGTGTTGGAGGACTCCTCAGCTGCAATCAGGTAAACCTTTAGGGTGGCTGATACCCATATGCTAACTGAAAGCAGGGAATTAGTGCCTAATCCATGGGATCTCTTGAGGCTCTATGCTAAGGAAGAAAACAAGCTGTGAGTGTAAAACTAGACATGAAGAGTGTGTTAGGCATATCATTTAAGGTACTATGAAGCAAAATCCAATATGGCCCTCTGGTTTTAAAAGGGAAAAAACACTGAAAACTATGGTGTAGAAACAAAAAAAATGGCTGACCTAGAAATCTAGCGGTTCTTATTAATGATACCCTTTTTGCACATAAATGGGTAGCCAGACCTGTTGACAGTAGTGACAGTAAAAAATATTTGGGTTGTGAGACCAGCAGTTAGTGTAATTGTTATGTCGCTGAACTCCCATGTATTCGACCGTGGTTAGAGTCCTGGACCCGGGGCTTAAACTCATGCTGGGTGCATGTGCGTTCATGCCTAAGATCCCGAGAGGAGAATGGAGGAGAAGGGATTGTGGCGTGGCCGTCCCCCCTTGGGTGATGATTTCTCGCTTTCTGCCTCTCTGTTTCTCTGTTTCTGTCTTTCTGGTGAGCACATGTGCCCTATAGCAAAAAAACCTCTCCCCCAAAAAATTGGTTGTGGGTCTGTGAAATGATATAACCCCTTTTTGGGTTATTTTGAGTCATGTGGGATTAAACACTTCTGAAGCCCAGAGACCAAAAATGCTTCATTATTTGGTACTTGGAAGCTTCGTATTGCAGATAGTATTTGTTCTAGCCAACCCACACGGCCTTCAGTCCTCAGGCCTTAATTGTATATATGTTCCTAGTGTAGTATATTTGAACTATGCAAGGTAAGAACAATGAAAACACTTTGAAAAGTAAAGAAATAACTTTATCCTAGGCTGACTGGTCTTAATCATGAGATCTAAGGTTATTTTATAGAAATATTGCCAGTTGGTTTATTTTTGTGTTTTTTTTTTTTCTTTCCTCCCTTCCTCTTTTTCTTGTTTCATCCCTTTTCTTTAGCACTTTTGAGACTGACTGATGTTGAAAGTGGTGTTCTACACAACTCTGACTGGAACTGCTATCTTAGCTTGCTGCTGCAGTATGTTTTAGGACAAAAAGTCTTTTAAAAGCATGAAAATAGAAGCAGACGGGTCGTGTTTGCTTTGGCACAGGGAATAGCTTTCCCTCCCAAGTAGCTCTGTGTAAGACCTAATCTCTAAAGGTGATCTCTCAAGTCCCAAGTTCTAAATGACAGAAGTCATTCCACATTTAAAATATTCCCTCAATCTTCCCTTATTTTTGCAAATGTACTTTCTAGGAAGTAGTTTACAAATGGACACCACCCATTTTCCATCTTTTTTCTCAGGTCATTCAGAGTCTGTGGCTGCCAGGTAGGATCAAGAGGCTCTTGTGGTCTTGCCTTGAGACTCCCTGGAGGATGGCTTCCGCCAGTAAAGCCATTTCCGCCTTTGGCAGCTGTAGAAAAACTGTCTGTGGAATTCATGGACTCATGTTCTCTATCCTTTGGGTGTCTGGCGTTTATAGCAAGAAATAAAAACATGTACCCAGCCAGTTCTACAAATTCTTAAATGAAAGTTGAAAAGATGGGTTTCTTATATTGCTAAAATGTAGAAATATCAGCATCTGTCAGTGGCTTCTTGCTACCAAATAGACTCTAGATGGGAACAAATGGAGTAGTGGAATGGATTGGTCTCTTCTGTCAAGGAAGTATCAGAGTTGATTGCAAGTACCTGGCAGACACTTTTTTTTTTTTTTTTTTTTTTTTTTTTGTGCCAGCATTTGCCTCCTATGTTTTATCTCTTCATTTCATAAGGCTGTTCCTTGGGTGATGGGCTTCCCATCAGCGACCAACATGACATTCCTCTGAGTAGGCTTCTTGATCTGGCCAGCTGCAACAAAGAGCCAGCTTGCTCTGGTCTGTTTTCCTTATGTCATGGCCTATTGCTGACCCCACAAAGATCAAACTAGAATGACCAAGGAGAGAGAAAGCTAAAAAAAACCCCATTATTATTTGTCATTCTTGTTCAGATTGGAATAGCCCTGTTTTATCTCTTTTAGATTTCCAATTTTTCC